TGAGGTCATATGATACATGTCTTTCTCTGATTGACTTATTTCGCTCAGCATAATACCCTCCAGTTCCATCCACGTCATTGCGAATGGCAAGATTTCATTCCTTTTGATGGCTGCATAATATTCCATTGTATATATATATATATATACCACATCTTCTTTATCCATTCATCTGTCGATGGACATCTTGGCTCTTTCCATAGTTGGCTGTTGTGGACATTGCTGCTATAAACATCAGGGTGCACATACCTATTGAGCATCTACTATGTTCTGGGGACTATTCCAGACTCAGGGCATATAGCAGCTAACCCAATGGACTAAAATCCCAGCCCTTACAGAGATTACATCCTGGTGGAAGGAGACAGATAATGACAAATGAGTAAAATATATGCTATATCAGATAGTGTTAAGTGCTGTGGTGAGGAAATGAGATAGGCAATGCGGGCCAGGGGGCCATTTTGAAAAGGGTGGTCAGGAAAGGCCTCACTGAGAAGGTGACGTTTGAGCCAAGACTATGCTCTCTGAGGGAGTGAGGCCTATGGATCCTGGTTGGCACGGTTCTTCTCTCTCCTTACTCTTGGATTCGGAGATGGTGTGGGTTTTTCCACAGTAGTTTGTGAAATTTTTAATAAACTGTTATGTGTAATTAAGAATCTGGCAGGGAGGGGGCACTAGAAATTGTTAGCTGGGAGAGAGACAATCATTATCTGTTATTCCCCCCTTTTTAAAAAAAAGCATCTACTGTTTATTGAGTGCTTCCTATGTGCCAGGCAATGTGCTAAGCATTTTATATTAATCAATTAATATATTATGAATACCTGTATCAACACATTACTAATACATTATTATACATTGCTAATACATCATTATTAGAACAGCCCTAGAAGGTATTTGTTCATTTGTTCAACAAATATCCATTGCCAGGCCTTACCCTAGGTGCTTGCGGATACGGCAGTGAACAAAATAAAGTCCCTATTCTCATGTAGCTTAGCTAATAGGGGGAGATAGACAATAAACACATAAACATACGACTATATAGAATATCAGATGGTAAAACGTGCTATGGAGAACAATAGAACAGGTGAAGAGCATAGGGATTGTGAGGTAGGGAAGGTGTGGGAGGGAGGGCATTCTATTCTACATATTGTCTCATTTTTTATGGCTGATTCCAAATGCCACACTGGGTTGTACAGCATAATGGTTATAAGCCCAGTTTCTGGAATGACAGAGATCCGGATTTGACTCTGTATTCTCCCACTGACAAGTGATGTGACCCCCGAACAAGTTATTTCTGAGCCTCAGTTTCCTTATCTGTAAAATAAGGATAATGACATTTCCTAGGATTGTTGGGAGGATTAAATCAGATCAAATTAAAGGATCCACATAAAGCACCGCCTGGCACAAAACAGATGCTCTGAACTTATTATTTGCCTTCTTCATTGACCTCCTACATGGATATTCGTTCCATGTAAAATACCTGACAATGGCTGTCACCATAGAAAAGAAGCCATTAAAAAACAAAACCCCCCCCCAAAAACCCCCAGCTTGGCAATAGAGAATCCACCTGTGCTGGGTACAGGAAATTGGCCAGGTAACTTGTTAAACCTATGCTGTTGCTTCCTTCTAGAAACAAAAATAGAAGGCCCTTGGGACACATATGGCAATAGCTTTTATTTTTGTTTTTTTTTTTCCTGCATGGAATTAATGTGACAGGGAAGACAAGCCCTGTTATGTGATGAAGCAGCAGGACCAGAAGCAGATCTAAGCTGTCCAACAAGTTCAGAACTGGATGACACAGATCTTCAACTCTACAGGCAGGGTTGGGGGTTATGGAGCCAGCAACCCCTCGGGTAGGGTCTATCCTATCTGGGCTCTACCCTTTGCCATTTTGCAGGTTTCTGCTCCAGAGGAGAGTCCTCAGCTGGCTAGAGTGGCTGTGTGTGTGTGTTTGGGGCGGGGTGGGGGCTTCTTAGGAATCAGGTGAGGTTTTAGAGGTCTGATGTTGGTACACCCAACCCTGCCCTGCTGGTCTCCTTCCCTGCGCTGGAGGGGTTGCTGGAGGAACTGTGGGCCGAAGGAGCAGGAGCAGGATGTGGATCAAAGTCTATTTTGTCAGCTGCTGCTGAAGTACTCAAAATCCCGATGTACAATTCTGATAAGGGCCTGAGCTGGAGCATCCAGGAAGGTGGACGCTTGAGGCCTAACCTGAGCCTGTTCTTCCCGCCTGATGAGACTGGCTCATCAGGCAGGGTCTAGTCAGGAGGCAGAAACCATAGAGGGATGTGACGAGAGAAGTGAAAGGAAAGAGCTGTTAAGTGGGTATCAGATCATTCCTAGGTAATGGAAACGTCTCTGAAGGAGCTCTAAGGCCTATGGAGGTACGACAGTTACCATCTCTAGGGCTGAGAGAACAAAGGGGAGAGATTGGAATTATTGCAATCTAGAAACTTGGAGGAGGGTTCCTGCAGAATTGAAATTCAGACCTTTGACAATGGGGACTGCCCACCTGGTGCTGGTGTCTCTGAGGGGCAGCCCTGAGGCTGGTTGTGCAAGTGCTGCATAATGCAGACTGGATCCAGTTGCTGCTACGAGGAGAAACTCGTGTGACTGGGGGGGGGGGGGGGGGGGGGTTGGGGGGGGGAGCCATTGCTAGACGACACTAAGAGGAACAGGAAGCAGACAAGAAGGAGTGTGTCTCTCATCCCTCCTCCAGCCTCACCATCTCCCTCTACCGCCCCCTTTGGCAGAGCCAAGCAGGTAGTTCCCCCCCCATCCCCCGGGGGCTGATCAGCAATGTGGCCTGCAGAGCCCTAGTTTCAGCATCGGGTGAGCAGATTAGAGAAGTGTGGGGTGACAGCTGACACGTGATAGCTTAGTAAGTGGCATTCATGCCACGGTAAACTCCGGTGAGGAATGCAAGCATCAACTGGCATGATGGCTTTCTGAGCCAGGAAGGGAGTAGGGGATGGCTCAGCTTACTGCCTTTGGAGCAGAAAAGGAAATGCAAGAGCCAGGGAACTGAGCATGGCCGTCTGCCTTCCACACCTACTAGTGAAATACAGCCCGCGAAAGTACTGTGTGCTTATCAGATAAAATAGCAACTCCTCCCCTGGGGAGTGGGGCGGGATCCCGGCAAGGGACTGGACTGAAGAAGGTAGAGATAGGACAGGGGGCTTCCATCACCTATTTCCCCTCACGGGGGAGGAGTAGAAGCAGTAGTATAGGTATCGTGTGTAGCTTGGTACTGGGCACGTAGTAGGCATTCCATAAACGGTGGCTCTTATTCAAAGGAAGGAAAGGTACACATAGATTAAGGAAAGAAGTAACTGGCTATAGTGGAGAGAGCCCAGAGTTTGGACTCAGAAGACCTGAGTCCATACTAGGTAAGTGACTTGGAGCAAGATACTTGCCTCTCTGAACCTGAAGTTTCCTTATGTGTAACATAGAGATGATACTTGTGGGGGCTAAATCTCTTCTAGCAGCCCCTTCACGTATGGTAGCTATTTTGTCCCATTATTAATTATAGAAATAGTAAGCGTGGTTATTTCTTATCGGTGGTGCTAACCCTAAGTAGAAGAAACTTTAGTGATCATTTATTCCACTGCATCATTGTGCAGATGAAGAAGCTGACTTGCAGCAAAAGGTCAGTAGGTCTACGGAGGTTAAGTGAGACCTGGCTTCCGTTCCACGCTGTGCATTTCCACTTAGTGGCCAAGTGACCTTAAGTAGTCTGTCTCAGCTTCTCAATGTGGTGAGGACTGTGGAAATGAATCCATGGCCTGGCCCTCAGTAAGTGCTCGGTAAATAGCCCTGGGACAGTTCCCTTGCGCTTGATGAACAGAGAGAGCCCCTGAGGTGAGGGTTGGCTGGTCATGACAGGGACTGTCCCATAGAACAGACCTTGCAGGTGAGCCTGGGCTCTCTCTAATGACACGGTGAGAACACTTGAGATTTTGAGCCTCCCAATCATTTGCTTTGCGATATTGAACAAGTCACTCTTATTTCTTCTCCCTGTGGTGTTCCCCTATGAAGATCATGATACTTGACCTTATGTCTATTTCCTGGGGTCTTCTGGAAGCTGAATAATGAAATGAGTGTCTCTGGAGCCAGAGAGTCTTGGAGAAACTCCTAAATAAATACCCTCAGATGACTAGCCTATCTAGTGTACCACAGCAGTATGAACCAAGGATACTGGGACTGGAGGCTAGAATCCTGCTTTTGGAATTCAAATTGTTCTTGTTATAGTCAACTCTTAATTTTTATGTGCTAACTGGGAAAAATTATAGCATAAATAAAAGAAGCCAGCTGGTGTTGATTGCTCTTCGCTCGAAAACTTGAGGAAGGCATAAGAGACTATATTTTAAATCTCATTATCTCTCACCTGATCGCTTTCTTCAAAGCCAGGAAGCTACAGGATGATTCAAAGGCTCAGAGCCCCAGAAGAGAGTCGGCGTACTGAATAATCCACAAACAAGACGATGCTTATCACTATAGTAGCTGTTTGTTTAGCCATTTATTAACCAAGCATGGGGATAAACTCTTCACCTGTAGTAGTAGCTCATTTCATCCTTATTGTAATTCCAGGGAGGAGGGAGGTGTGTTCATTTATCCATCTGTCTTTTATCAGCTGAATCTCAGGTACAGAAGCTGGAGTGAATCATACTTTTCAATTCATCGTACATTGTCATCACTGGTCTGTGCGAGACCCTTTCTTATGTTAGCTAATTAATTTGCTTGTTCCTTTTTACCCACGTATGCTATATTCATTCACCCCCCATAAATAAATAACCAATCTATTTTTTAGTGTCTTTTCCTTTGTATATATTCTTATGAAATGTATATTTTGGTTTTGTGTGTGTTTTAAATTTATATAAAATGACATCATGTTATATTTCATTGTCTCTAACTAAAACTGTCCTCACTAAAGCACTACATTTTTAAGCCGCATCCATGTTGCTATGGGTTTATTTAATCTATTGCTCCCAGTTGTGACATAATAGGCCATGGTGTGCGCCCACCACAGTTACACATTCTCCTGCCCAGCAATGGCCATCCAAGCTGTGTTGGTGTCAAACTCCCTGCTGCCACAAGCAAAGAAACACTGTATCCCCGTACGTCTCCCTTATGGGCTGAGGATTGCTTTGGGGTATATAGTGAAGAATGGAATTGCTACTTCATAGGGATACATAGAATATGAATATGCCTGAGTAGTGCCAGAGGTAGGTGCTGTTATGTCCCCCATTTTACAGGTAAGGAAACTGAGGCTTTGAGAGTTTTAATAACTTACCAGAGTCACACAGACAGTGATTAGCATAGCTGGGATTCAAATTCAGACCTTCTTGCCCCAAAAACTCTACCCTTTTCCCCCCCCCAAGAGAGAGTACGCGTAAGCAGGAGGGCAGGGGAAGGGGCAGAGGGAGAGAGAACCCCAAGCAGAGCCTGACTCGGGGCTCCAACCCATGACCCTGAGATCATGACGTGAGCCAAAATCAAGAGTTGGACACTCAACCGACTGAGCCACCCAGGCGCCCCCCAGAAATTCTACTCTCGATGGCTATGCCATCATTATTCTCTGAGTATTGGAGACTTGAGGACATTTTACAAAAACATAAAGGTAAATCCCATTGTAGTGTGTATATTTTTAGAACCTAGGAATCCAGGTGGACTGATTTTTTTTCTGAAGCACCTACTTCCCTGTCCCATAGCTGCATAGTAACTGGTTTCCTCTGGTTTTCATATCCTATGGGTCTGCAGCGCTAAAAGCCGCATTGGTCATCCAGAACTGGTACCGAGGTTACAGTGCTCGGTTGAAGGCCAGACAACGCTATGCCCTCACCATCTTCCAGTCTATCGAATATGCTGATGAACAAGGCCAACTGCAGGTCTGTTTTGCCAGCTTGTCTCTTCTTTTGGTAAAATGCTTCTCTTTACCCCTCATAATTGAGAAAAGGAGAGTTTGGGTCCATTTACTGTGGTGAAAGCTTTAATAGAGGGTGACATTGTCTTGGAAGTAGCTGTGGAGAGAGAGTAGGATTTGGGAAGAGGAAGGTATTTTTCGTTTCTGAAGTTTGTATTTTGAAGAGGGCTGCCAGATGTCTAGTTAACTAATAAAAAATGATCTTATTTTGTTCTTGGGCACGTGTCCCAGGAGGAAGTAAGGTTGTTACTTTACGAAGGAAAAAATATTTTAAGGAGTTAAAAAAATGAAAGAATTTCCTGAGAACAAACCCGAGAGAGTTCTAGAAGAAAATATAGATGGGCGAGGAAGGCCTTTTTCAAGCTTGCGAAACTGCTGTATAAATCCAGCTTTAATGCTTCTTAGTAGAAAAAAAGTCCTTTTTGGCCATTAAGGGGAGGGAGGATATATGATATCCTCTGCCTCTGCAGGAGGTGCTGCCCACCAGCTGAGGGAGGAGGGAAGCAGGTAGAGGCTGGGAGAGCGCGCCAACAGGATTTGCCATGGTGGCTATCTGGGGATCACTCACTGACTAATGTGTTTCTATTTCGTCCAGCTATCCAACTTCTTTTCCTTCATGTTGGAAAACTATACACATATACACGAGAAAGACCCAGGTAAGTAAAATGTTTTGTCTTTTGAAACGCAGTCATTAAATATTGAATTGTCCTCATCAAGGGATGTAAACTCTGAAGATGGGAGGACACTAAGAAATTAAAAAGATGCCCACCCGTCTTGTCTTTGTGACACCAAACTGGTGAAATCAGTTCAAGTGGCTTTTTTTTTTCTCTGATTCTTGTTTACTAAATTTGTTTAATTTTGTCACTTTCACGAAGCTGAATTAGATTTCATTCAATGTTAATTTGTTGAACACCTTCTCTGAACCACAATCTGTTGATGTACAATAGTAGCTTTAGTAAAGAGGATCTTATTTTTTTATCGACAAAACTTTCATGCCGAGAGATCAAAATAAACAAATCTGGGGGGACATGGTGGATTGAACACGGTTTTCCGTTTTCTGCAGAGCTAGCTGTCCATCTCTCTGTCTCTTTATCATTTATGTAGTCTTTCTGAAATGACCAAGTAAATCATCTCAGGGACAGGTATGGTTCAAAATGATTTTAAAATTATAGTTATTCCCCAGGCATGCATGCATTTCTCCTGCAAAATCAAGATGACTGTTATTAACTTCAAGGTAGATGCTAGACTTAAAAACTTATTTTTCTTTAATTTGGGCCAACCATTTTTTGTTCTAATTAAAAGTGTATGGCATCTAAGAGCTCCTTTTAAATCATCATCCAGCGAGCACCCTTCACTGTGGCAAAATGGTATTTTAATGGCATGCTTTGAGCTGAGCGCATATGTATGAAACTAATTAAAGCATTTAATGATCTGTAGAAGCTTTCTAAATGGTAGAATAGCCAAACCTGAGGAGTGGGGAGTGGGAGGAAGTGGGTATTTTGCCATTTTCTTTCTTTTAGATAATTGCAATTTGAAGATAGTTGTTTGTGCTTCATGTTCTTTGGCAAAATATTTCTGAGAGGAAATATAATGATGATGAAATGAAGCAGCACTGTTTTTGCTAATGACCTAATATTTCGATCTGGGCTGTGCATCAGAATCACTTATGGAGATTCATAGCCACAGATGGCTGGGTTCCAGCCCAGAGATATTTTCTCAGACTCTGTATTTTAAAAAATCTGCATGTCAAAAAATTCTGTAGGTGATTTAAAAATATTTAAAAATTTTATCAAAGAAGGGGACAGTGGCGTAATCTTCTTAGGTAAACTTTTCTTGAAGTATAACATACATTAAAACACACAAATCTTAAGTACAAGAATCAATAAATTTTCTTGAAGTAAGCATGCCCTTGTAACCCGCACCCAGAACAAGAAAGAAAACATTATCAGAGCCGCTGAAGCCTCTCTGCTGCCCCCCTCCCGTCACTTACCAACTCCCCCATGATGGCTTTCCTGACTTCTACGTCCTAGATTGGTTTTGCTTGTTTTTGAACTTCACTAGATAAATGAAAGCACAGTTTTGAGTCTGTCTTTTACTCAATGGCGTATTTGTGAGAGTCATCCACGTTGTTGCAATTCGGTCATTCTTATTGCTGAATGTTGTTCCATTTTACGAATTTACCAAAACATATCCATTTTATTGTTTATGGACATTTGGGTTGTTTTCAGTTTGGGTAATTTGAGTGGTACTGCTATGCACATTCTTGTACATGTCCTTTTTGGTGAACATATATATCATTTTCTTTTGCTATATTCTCATTTCGTTATCTATTGCTGCATAACAAATCACCCCCAAATTTAGAGGCTTAAAAACAACAGCTATTTTATTGCTCTTGATTCTGTGGATCGGGCATTTGAACTGGGCTCAGTGGGGATGGCTTGTCTTCATTCCATGCGGTGTCAGTTGGGCTCACTCAACCTCGCTGGCTGGGTAGGGAGGTCTAGATGGTTTTACTCACCTGTCTGGGACTTTGGTATTGGCTATGAACTTAGATACCTCAATTCTCCTCGTGCAGCCTCTCTGTCTAGCAGGATATCCCAGACTTCTTTACACGGTAGCTGGATCCCAAGAGGACAAAGGCAGAAGCTACAAGGCCTCTTAAGGTCTATTCTCTGGAACTCACATAAAATCGGTTCTGCCATATTCTATTGGTCAAAGCAAGTCACAAGGACAGCCACAGATTCACAGGGGTTAGGAAAGCTCCACCTCTTGCGGCGGGGAGCAGCAGCGTTATATTGGAAAGGGATGCGGATACAAAGGGGCTTGATTCACTGGGGGCCATTATTATAAAGTTGTACCATGACCCCGGAGTGGAAGTTTTGGGTTACAGGGCATGCATGTGTTCAGCTTTATTAGCTACTGACAAACCTTCTTATAAATGTTGTACCAACTTATACTGCCACCAGTGGATGAGAGTTCCAGTGTTCTCTATCCTCTTCGACACTTGGAGTTGTCATTCCTTTTCATTTTAGCCATTCTGCCTGATATGTAGTAGTATCCCATTTCTGCTTTAATTTGTATTTCCCTGGTGAGCGGTGAAATTGGTCACCTTTTTGTCTATGTAGTGGCCATGTGAACATCCTGTTTGGTGAAGTGCCTATTCAGGTCTCTTGCCATCCTTTTATTGGGTTAGCTGTTTTCTTCTTACCAATTTGTAAGAGTGCTCAAGGTATTCTACATATGATAATATGAATCTTTGTTAGATAAACATATTGCAGATATCTTCTCCTAGTCTTTGCCTTTTACCCCCCTAATCTTTAAATGCTGCCTTTTGATGATAACAGACATTCTTGATTACAGGGAATGGAGTTGGGCAGAGGGCTGTGGAAGGAGTAACACTCCTCTGAATGTACCTGAGTTTTGACTCTTAGAACCATGATAATGTTTCACATCCATCAAAAAAATTATTACAAACAAGAAAAGAATGTATGTGTGTGTATTTCCAAAATAGAATACACACAGTGACAAATGAATTTAACTGTATTACAAATAACAGAATCACCTCTTGGAGTTGGGGAAGAAACAAACCAACCTAAGTAACATTGGAAAATAGGGCTTTAACTATAATGAGCCTTGATGATGCTTCATTTATATTTTATCCTGTGTGGGGTTTGCTTGAGCTTCTGTGATATCTAGGTTGATATTTTTCATCAGGTATAGAAAGTTTTTACCCATTAATTATTTAAAATATCTTTCAAGTCTAAATATCGTTTTCTTTGTGAATCCCTGCTTTTAAACTTAGAAGGCCTTGAAATATTTAAAATGTGGATCGCTATGCCTGGATTTCTAGATTTTTTTTATGGTTTGACTTTTAAAAATTTTAACACTTCATAAATTTGGGATTTTTTATATTAAACCAAAAAAGGAAATCTTGATGCCTTGTGGTTGAAAACAAAGAGCACAGCTAAAAAGAAAATGTCCAAGTAGTTAACCAGTTTTTCCCACAATGTTTATTTCATAACGTATCTTTTCACCATGGTTTGTAGTGCCTCCTTCATCATGTATTCATTTAAAAAATATGTATTAGGGCATATTTCTAGGCCTCTATTCTCTTATACATCTCTCTATTATAGAGTCCTAGAATCTTACCGATTTAATTATTGTGTGTAATGGAAAAATTAATTTGCAGATTACTTTTGTAGGTTGATTTCTTTTAAAAATTTTTTCCACGGGGCACCTGAGTGGCTCAGTCATTAAGAGTCTGTCTTTGGCTCAGGTCATGATCCTGGGGTCCTGGGATCGAGCCCCGCATCGGGCTCCCTGCTCAGCGGGAAGCCTGCTTCTCCCTCTCCTGCTCCCTCTGCTTGTGTTCCCTCTCTCTCTGTGTCTCTGTCAAATAAATAAATAAAATCATTAAAAAAATTTTTTTCCCAGCTTTATTGAAATATAGTTGACATATAACATTGTAGAAGTTTAAGGTATACACTGCAGTGATTTCATATAGGAATATACTATGAAATGATTACCACAACAATGTTGGTTAACACATCCATCACCTCACAGTTACAAGTCCTTTGTGTGTGGTGAGCCCTTTAAAAATGTACTCTCTCAGCAACTTTCAAGCATACAATAAGAGTAGTGTTAACTAGGGTCACGGTACTGTACATTACTGTGGGTTGCTTTCTGATGGCCTTCTTTGGTGGGAAGGTTCCGCACAACGTCCACCTAGGCCTGTTTTGCAGAAGCGCCAGGACCCCTAAGCAGGATGTATTTAGGGACCAGAAGATCACTTAACATTCCCAGATATCGTCGGACTAATGGTTTTAACTCTGAGGCACAGTGTTAGTTGAGACATCCTGGGTGTTCCACAGGTAGGAGGTGATCTGGAAGCCGTTCATTTCCATGTCCTACTACTTAGTGGCTCAAACCGGTTCATAGGACTTGATGGGGAGACTCAACACATCCATCCCATAAGGTAGAAAGCCAAAGCTGCTCTACAGAGCAATAGGTTTAAACAGAGACTGGTGGAAGTGGGGAGTGGGAGGGAGCGTGTGCAAGTGTTGTTTTGACTATCCTTTCTGCTTCCCAGATCAGCCAAAATGTCCTATCAGACCCAGGTATTTTATATTTTTTTGTGGCTATGGTCAGTAGGTTATTTTCCCCATGATATCTCCCCGGTGATTATTGGTAGTATTTAACAAGCTTGTATTGTGCTACTATTGAACAATAGCATGAATGAACTTATTATTAATTATTATTATTGCTAGTATCTATTACATGTTTGCCATGTGCCATGTCTTTTAAGTGCTTTAAATATTTCATTTAGTCTTCATGACAAACCACTGAGATTAGTATTATTATCATCCCCTTTTGTTGGATGAGAATATTGAGGCTTAGAAGGTGACCTCCTAAGGTTATTCATCTCAGCATTGGTAAAGCTGTGATTCAAACCTCTGTAGTATGGAATTCTGTCAGTTCTGGGAGTTTCTCAACTGATTTTCTTGAGTATGGATGTTTAATCACACTGGCCACAAGTAACTTTATTTTTACCTCTTTCTATCCAGAGCTCTTATTTCAGCTTTGTGTTTTGTTGCGTTGGCTAGAAATAGCAGAACAATGTGAAAAGTAAGCAGTGAAACTAGGCATCCTGATTTGTTAATGCTTTAATGGAAAAACCATTCTTGTTGATTTCAATTTTTAAAATTCTGTTAAGAGGTAGGCTTTCATTCCTAGTTTTCTGAGTTTTTAAATAATCAGGAACAGGTGTTGAATCTTATGAAATGCAGTTTTGCCATTTATTGAGTTTATTATATGGACACTCATAGTTTTGATCCAGACTCATAACTGAGAAATGAAATAACTCTAAAATGCAGTTCAATTGGTGCTTTTCTTTTCCCAGCCATATCTGGCAGAAAGTGTGTGTGTGTGCGTGCGTGCATGTGGTGGTGTTGTTTTTTTTTAAATTATGGACTTTAACATGTTCCCTGTCCAGATTTTGAGTTTGTACTGGGTAAAGGAAAAGATTATATGTGGGGGGTAGTTTTGAGATATTTTCTTTAGAACAACTTGTAAAGGTATCATTTGGTTATAATTCAAGATTTCATTATATTTAATTAGTTTAGATTCATGTTGACAGAATTGTAAAGCAAACAGGTAAAGATTCATTCAAATTACATGGTGCACAAATCTTTACATATTGTTGGCATTCATTAAATTATTCTTATTAGTTATGATAGTTACAGCCCACACTACTTGCATTCGAATTGGTACAGCTTCTGATTGTTTTCATATATGACCCACATTAGCTACCCATATTTGGAAGAGAATCTATGTTATTTTTTTTTAAATGTGGCTAAAAGTCAGCAAAAGGATTATGATTTGATGTTTACTGATATTTCATATTGAGTAGTTTTGACTAAGAAATGGCTTAGGGAAATGGTGCTTTTTTGTATATTTATCACAGGACTTATAAGAAATGAAGGTGAACAAACGTATGGAAAGAAGGGCCAGACCAAGCTTTTTGTTTGCTTGTTTTAAAGAAGAAAAACACTACTTTAATTTTGTTCTTAAAAAAAACAAGACTGCATTGGGCTGATGAGAAAGGGAGAGTGGACAGAGCACGGGTGAAGGCAGTGATTGGAAAAAGAAAATCATGTCAGGCTTGTACCTCACACAGGTGGGATTACTCAGTAAGTCAGTTATAAGATGATATAATGAGACCAGTGGGGTTGTTTCTGTCTGTCTTTGTTGTTTTCCCAAGAGGAGCCCAATATTTCAGTGTGTAGAGTCAGGAAGATGTATCTCTAAGGACGGAATGGCATGATCATTAAGACAGTTAAGTAGAGTATTTAGGCTTCACTGCTTGCTTGATGGAATCTGAGGTAAAATTTACCAAGCTGCTCTGCATTTCTAGTTTTCAAGCATAAAATGGAATCATTAAGTGATTCTCAAATCTCAAACCAAATCCAAATGAGAAAAATACACTGCGCTGGACCACACTGAAGACACACCTTATTATTCCTAAATTTAACTTCTTATAAAACATCATCAACTACCACCAAAGAAGTGTTGGGGTGGGTACACAATAATTTAGAAAGCATTTTTAAATTACCAAATATCATGACTTACTTTAGCAAGTTTTTTTTCAAGTTTAGTTCTTAACTCTAATCTCTCGGCATAACTGGATCATGAAAAAACATGTATTCTATCTACATCTGCTAACATCACACTTTCCAAACATGTCTACTCTAAATATTCAAAAAGATAGAAACTACTTGCAGAAAACTTCTGATTCCCATTGGCTTGGTAGCAATTGTTAATGAGTTGAAGAACACATCACCATCCTCTGTATCCGTTATCTGTTAATGAAATAATAGTGTATTAAACAACCACAAGAGCTCAGTGGCATGTAATAAACATTTCTTTTGCCCGCAAGTCTACAGGTTATCTGAGTCCTTCTGCTGATCTTGACAGGCTTGATTTGGCAGTTTTCCTCAGCTCTTGATGAGAGTTCACTCATGTATTTGAAGGTCTGCTGGCTAATGGCTGATCTGGGATGGCCTTGGCTGGGGTGACTCAGTTTTGTTCCCCATAGTCTTGGAGCTTTCATTAGGTTAGCCTGGGCTTTGTGCTAGTAGCTTGGGTTCGAAAGAGAGAGCATGGAAACATACAAGGCCTTCTGAGGTCTTGACTAGGAAATGGTACGTAACACTTCCACCACATTCTTTAGGCCAACACAGGTCATGAACCCCACAACCCAGATTCAAAGCCTGGGGAAATAAACTCTTGATGAGAGTAGCTGCAAATCGCATTAAAAAGAGCCAGGCTAAATGTTGGGATAGACAATCGGGATCACTTTTGCAATCAGTCTACCATACCCCCTTTCATCTTTCTCCAGCCGAATTGGCCAGATTTCTATTCTTGGGCTGACTGTTTTATAAGCAGCCTAGCAAGAAAGGGACCCTGGATCTCAGCACCTACTGAAATGGGCAGTGCAGGTGATCTGTTACACAGAAATGTTTCTCTGAGAGAGAGACCCTATGGGTATTTCTGCCTGTGTTTCATCATCTAACTTTATCTGCTTTGTTATCAAGAAGAAAAAGAAAATCATGTCAGAAAATCTGTTTTTATGTAAAGAGAGAAATCTATTACAGCTAAGTAAAATTTGAAGTGTTTAACAGGGGAAAAATTGAATGTTGCAGTTTAATTTTCTGAATAGCACAGATGTTTGAATCAAATGCAATACATTGTTATGTGTTCAGCTCGATTTGTAAAAATCTGAGATGTAAGAGTAGGCAAAAAATGTAGAGGTAGAGTTTCAGAGCGTCAAAGTGCCTTGATTGCCCAGTTTTCCCTGTGTTTCTCCTTCTCCTCCCCACCAATGAACTCACTGCTTTGGTACAATGTCCACTCGGGAAGGGATGAGGGTGATTCATGTCAATGTACCTAATGATCTGAGAACAAATTCTTCCTCATGATTATATGTGGGATAGTTTGGTATTCATAACACGTAGCCCAGTGCCTCATGTGGGCTTGATATTCAAGAAGGTATTTATTGAATTTAAGTATGGGAATATTGACGCCCCCACCCTTTCTGTCTTTTCTTTTCCAGATTTAGTTGCTCGACTCTTTGGTAGCACCCTCCAGGACTGCAAGGATAGACAGGAGTATGTCTCATTCATAGACGTCCCAGACTCCTATAATGGTCCTCGGCTGCAATTTCCTCTCACCTTTACTGACATTGATATACTTGTTGAGGCCTTCAGGCAACAACAGGCAAGTGGAAGCGGATACTGCCATCATTCTTGTACATAGCATGTGCTCAGTGACTATCTGTTGAATGAATGAATGAAAATACTATAGCGGAAATGTACTCCCTTGGGGGAAAAGCTTCATAATAAGTGAGAGCTACCCTCTGCTTTGCTTAACCTATTAAATAGCAGTCTCCTTAGATGCACAGAGACTTCCTATCTATAGGCGTACAGCATTTCTTTCTTCTTTTTCTGAGATATAATTCGCATATCATAAAATTCATTGTTTTCAAGTGAGTGACTTAAGGGTGGGCGGATGGGTGAAATGGGTGAAAGAGAGTGGGAAGTCCAGGCTTCCAGTTATAGAATGAGTAAGTCATGGAGATAAAAGGTACAGCCCAGGGAATATAGCCGATGGTACTGCAACAGCCTTGTATGGTGACAGACGGGAGCTATACTCGTGGGGAGCACAGCGTCACGTATAGAGTTGTCGAGTCACTGTGTCGTACCCCTCACACTAATGGAACATTGTTTGTCAACAATTCTCCAGTGAAAAATAAATAAATAGGGCGCCTGGGTGGCTCAGTTGGTTAAGCGACTGCCTTCGGCTCAGGTCATGATCCCAGAGTCCCAGGATCGAGTCCCGCGTCGGGCTTCCTGCTCAGTGGGGAGTCTGCTTCTCCCTCTGACCCTCTTGCCTCTCACGCTCTCTCTCACTCTCTCTCTCTCTCTCAAATAAATAAAATCTTAAAAAAAAGAAAAATAAATAAATAAGAATGTGTACAATTCAGTGGTTTTTTGTTCGTTCACAAAACAGTGCAACCATCACCAATATCTAATTCCAAAACATTTTCATCACCCCAAAAAGAAATTCCGTACTCATTACCATCCCCTCCCCGCTCAGCCCTGGCAACTATTAGTCTACTTTCTGTCTCTACGGATTTGTCTGTTTTGGACATTTCAAACAAATGGAATTATATAATATGTAGCCTCTTGTGTCTGGCTTTTTCACTTAGCTAATGTTTTTAGGGTACATTCATGCCATAGTATGTTTCATTGCTCCTTTATTGCACTGTCTGACTAATATTCTGTTATAAGGATATACCACATTTTGTTTATTCATTCGTCAGTGGATGAACATTTGGATTTTTTTCTACTTTTTGGCTCTCATGAACAATGCTTCTCTGAACATTCACTTACAGGTTTTTGTGTGAATGTGTCCTCGGTTCTCTTGAGTATATATAACTAGGAGTGGAACTGGGGGGTCATATGGTAACTCTGTTTAACTTTTTGAGGAACTGCTAAATTGTTTTCCACGGTGGCTGCGCCACTTTACCTTCCCACCAGCAATGCATGCGGGTTCCAGTGTCTTCACATTTTTTGCCAACACTTGTTTTTGCTTTTGTTTATTCTTTTAAATTGTGTTTTCATTATAGCCATCCCAGTTGTATGTGAACTGACACCTCCTACTGGTTTTGATTTGCATTTCCCTAATGACTGAAGATGTTGAACATCTTTCCATGTTTACTAGGCATTTGTACACTTCTTTGGAGAAAGGTCTATTCAGATGCTTTGCCCATTTTGAAATCAGGTTATTTGTCTTTATGTTATTGAGTTGTAAGATTTCTTTATATATTCTGGATACAAATCTCTTACCAGATATATGATTTTTTTAAAAAGATTTATTTATTTCTTAGAGAGAGCGTGTGGGGGGGAGGGACAGAAGGAGAGGGAGGGAGAGAGAGAGAGAATCTCCAGCAGACCCCCCGCTGAGCAAGGAGCCCAATGTGGGGCTCGATCCCACGACCCTGAGATCATGACCTGAGCCCAAACCAAGAGTTGGATGCTTAATCAACTGAGTCACCCAGGCCCCCCTCAGATATATGATTTGAAAATTTTTTTTCATTCTGTAAGTCGTCTTTTCACTTTCTTGATAATGTCCTCTGATTCACAAAAGTTTCTAATTTTGGTGAAGTCCAGTGCATCTATTTTTTTTCCTTTGGTTGCTTGTGCTTTTGTGTTATATCTAAGAATCCATTGCCAAATTCAAGGTCATGAAGATTTACCCCTTATTTTTCCTTTTAAGAATTTTATAGTTTTAGCTCTTACATTTAGTTCCATGAACCATTTTCCCTTACTTTCTGGGGATATATGGTATGAGGTAGGGGTCCAACTTTATTCTTTGCACATGGATATGCAGTTGTCCTAGCACCTTCTGTTGAAGAGTTCATTCTTTCCCCCTTGAGTGGTCTTGATATCCTTGTTGAAAACTAATAGGCCACAGATGTATTGATTTATGTCTGGACTCCCAATTCTATTCATTTGTGTATGTCTCTATCCTTATGCCAATACCACATTGTCTTAATTGCTATAGCCTTGTAGTTAAGTTTTGAAATCAGGAAGTATGAATCCTTCAATTTAGTTCTTCTTTTTGAATATTGTTTTGGCATTTGGGTTCCCTTGCAATGAATTTGAGGATTGACATTTCCATTTCTTTAAAAAAAAAAAGCCCATTGTGATTTTGGTAGGGATTGCATTGAATCTATAGATCACTTTGGACAGTATTACCATCTTGACAGTATTAAGTCTTCCAATTCATAAACACATGATGTCTTTCCATTTATTTTGGTCTTCTTTGATTTCTTTCAGCAATGTTTTCTAATTTTCAGTGCACAAGTCTTTTTCTACCTTAAATTTATTCTTTGGTATTTTATTCTCTTGATTGCTATTATAAAAGGGATTGCTTTCTTAATTCACTTTTGGATTGTTTATTGTTGGTGTATAAAAGTACACTCAGTTTTTGTGGGTTGAGTTTTTACTCTGCCACTTTGCTAAGTTCATTTATTAGCTCTAGTAGTGTGTGTGTGTGTGTGTGTGTGTGTATTTTGAGACAATCTATATACAAGATCATGTCATCTAGGAATAGAGATAGTTTTACTTTTTCTTTTTTGATTTAGATACCTTTTATTTCTTTTTCTTGCCCAATGCTCTGGCTAGAACTTCCAGTACAATGTTGAATAGCAGTTGTGAGGGCAGGCATGCTTGTCTTGTTCTTGATCTTAGTGGGAAAGCTTTCAGTCTTTCACCACTGAGTTTGATGTTAGTTGTGGGTTTTTCACAAATGCCTTTCATCATGTTGAGGAAATTTTCACCCATTCTTAGTTTTCTGAGTGTCTTTGTCATGTAAATGTGTTAGCTGTTGTCAAATACTTTTTCTGTACCAATTAAGATGATCCTGTGTTTTTTTCCTTCACTTTATTAATATGTATATTGCATCGATTAATTTTTTGTGTGTGTTGAACCACCTTGTATTCCTGAAATAAATCCCACTGGGTCATGGTCTATGCTTCTTTTAAAATTTTATTGGATTTTGTTTGCTAGTATTTTGTTGAAGTTTTTTTTTTCATTTTATTCATAAAGGGTATTGATGTGTACGTTCTTGTGGTGTCTTTATCTGACTTTGGTATTAGGATGATATTGGCTTCATAGAATGAGTTAGGAATTGTTTCCTCCTCTTAATTTTTTTGGAAGAGTTTAAGAAGGATTGGTGTTAATTCTTCAAATGTTCACTAGAGATCACCAGTGAAGCTGCCTGTCTTGGACTTTTCCTTGTTAGGAGGTTTTTGATTACTGATTCAATCTCTACTTGTCCTAGATCTGTTCAGATTTTCTATTTCTTCTTGAATCGGTTTTGGGAATTCGTATGTTTCCAGGAATTTGTCCATTTCATCTAAGTTATCTAATTTGTTAGTGTATAATTATTCATAGAATTCTCTTATAATTCTTTTTATTTCTTTAATGTTGGTGGTAATGTCTCCACTTTTAGTTCTGATTATACTTATTTGCATTTTCTCTCTTTGTTTTTCTCTGTCAGTCTAGTTAAAGGTTTGTCAATTTTGTTAATATTTTCAAAAAACCAACTTTGAGCTTTGTTGAATCTTTCTATTGTTTTTCTGTTGTCTGTTTCATTTATCTGAACTCTAATCCTTTTTTCTCCTCTGCTAGCTTTTGGCTTAGTTTGTTCTTTTTCTAGTTCTTTAGTGTCAAGTTAGGCTTTTCATTTGAGATCTTTCTTCTTTTTAATGTAGGCATTTGCAATTATAAATTTCTCTCTGAGCATTGCTTTTGCTGCATCCCATATATTTTGGTATGTAATATTTTCATTTTTGTTCATCTCAAAGTAGTTTCTAATTCCCTTTGTGATTTCTTCTTTGACCTATTGATTATGTTGTTTAATTTCTACATATTTGTGAATTTTTCAGTTTTCCTTCTGTTATTGATTTCAAGCTTCATTCCATTGTGATCAGAGAAGATACTTTGCATGATTCCAATTTTTTAAATTTATTGAGGCTTGTTTTGGGGCCTAACATCTGGTCTATCTTGGAGAATGTTCCATGTGTTCTTGTTAAAAAAATGTGTAGCCTGATGTTGTTGGGTAGAGTGTTCTATAGATGTTTGCTAGGTCTAGTTGTGTGTGAGGTCTCTGAAGTCTCTGTTCTTTTAGCTTGTGTTCAGCTAGTATTTGATAGAGATTTCCTTGAACAACAGGAGCCAGAGAGAGAGAGAGAGAATGAGAGAGAGAGAGTGGGAGAGAGACAGAAGCAAAGCAAAGCAAAGACAAGCCTAGTCTTTGCAGATGGGCTCTGTGTTGGTAAACTTCTTCACTGCTTAGCTAGGCTGTTTACAAACCTATTTTAGCCTTTACTCTCTGCTTGCACTGAGCCATTTTTAAGTTACCTTTTTCTTGATTCAGCCTTTGCTTGGTTACTATGAACTTTATTTTCCAAAGTTCTGTGAAAGTTGATTTTGACAGTTTTTTGTTGTTGTTTAAGTTTTCAGTGTTTCTGTAGAGTGATAGGACCTGTGAGCTACCTATTCCATTGTTTTCTCTAACATTACCCCAAAACCCTCATTCTCAGGTTCATACCCTAGGAGTAAGAGTGAACTATGAGTAGATTGTCTCTGTAGGGATTGAAGCAAACCTTGGAATCATCTAATTCCTGAAATTAAATTGAGATTATCCTAGATAGCTGCTGTTCCTAGCCACCTGCCAAATGAAAAAGTAAATCCTCTCTGGAAGGAAATAGGCCTCAAATTATTTCTTCAAATTGTTATGTACAATGTCCAGAACTTAATACAAATATTAGCCAGGCATAGGAGGATACAAGATTCATGACAGAAAACTGAGGCAAACAACAAACAACAGAAACAGACCAACATTTTGAGAATGGCATCATCAAACTCAGAGTTTAAGATAAATATGCTTAATATGTTCAAAGAGAGAAAAGATATGACAAAAATCCAAGGAGCTATAACAGAAAAGATCAATAATTCTGACTTTATAAAAATGAGAAAATTATGTTGTTAAGGGAAGACTGAAAGGTTCAACACAGAGTACAGTGTGTTCCCATTTAAAAAAAATTAAGTATTATATATATTTTGATTTTTAAAAATTAACATTTACATAACATAAAATAGATCATATTAACCATTTAAAAGAGTACAATTTAGCAGTTTTTAGTATATTCAAAATGTTGTGCAACCATCACCGCTAATTCCAGAACATTTCATCACCCCAAAGCAAAACCCTGTACCCATCAAGCAGTCACTCCCCATTGCCCCTTCTCCCTAGCCCCTCGCAACCACTAATTTGCCTTCTGTCTCTACGAATTTGCCTAATCTGGACATTTCATATAAACGGAATCATATAATATGTGACCTTTTATGTCTGGCTTCTGCTTGGCAAAATGTATTCAAGATTCATCCATGTTTTGGTATGTGTCAGTATTTCATTCCTACTTTTGGTTGAATAGCATTCCTTTGTATGAATATACCCCACATTTTGTTTAAGGGATTATATATTTATAGAATAGAACATATATATTAATATTACATATTCATATGTGGTTATATTAATTTTTATATGCTTACAAATGCATAGACTATGTTTTGGAAAGATAATGAAGACACTCTTAACAGTGACTGTTTCTGGGGACAGGAACTGAGGTCTGGGGAAGAAAGAAAATTGCTTTTCACTTATATTCCTTTTTACTATTTAACTTTTTATTTCAACTGAAAAATGAGATTTTTCTTCATTTGAAAACTCGTTATTTCATACAAAGAAATGTCCTTTAGAAGTAGTACTTTCCTCCCTCATTGCCTTTAAAAGAATATGAATATTTTATTTAAGTTGCTGTTTACTCTGACCTTCTCTATAAATGTAGAAACCAACATCTAAGTTAACTTTTTTGAATATTTAATATTGCAACTGTAAACACAATTATAATGCTATTTAGAGACAGCATTGTAAGCAAATACTGATATTAGCTATGTGATTTTAGCCTATTGAAAAAGGAACCAGGGTATCTGGCTGGCTCAGTCAATGGAGCATGCGACTCTTGATCTCGGGGTTGTGAGTCCGAGTCCCACATTGGGTGTAGAGATTACTTTAAAAAAATAATAATTAAAAAAGTGGAAAAAAAAAAAGGAAAAGAAAAAGGACCAAGAAAAAATATTTTAGCAATAGGAATTTTCTGTTGTAACATATTCTCAGTGAATGTTTTTTTTTAACTTACTAAACAAAACAAAACAAAACAAAACTGCCTTTTCAGACAGCAGTTACTCTGATTAGTGCTACAAATGGACCAGAAAATCTGCAGTGGCAAATTAAGGTAACACTGAAGCCTGTCTTGGGAATCAATAGACTAAATATGCAAAGTGAAAATAAGTATTGTATTAAGGTGTTTTACCTGTTCCTTTAAAATGGGGCTAAAGGAAAGTTCACATTCAAGATTTGACTCAAGTTGTGGATTGAATGGACTTAAAATGCTTTTGTAGGAAAAGTATTTAGCAGTTCATTAGGTCTTGGAAAGCCAGGAAATAATGGGTCTCTCCACTCATCTATATCCAGGGACCTTTCTCTTTCCTCCTAATTCTCACATTGTTTCAAATCCTGATTCCTGTTCTTAAAAAGTATACGCAAACAATGAATCATGGAACACTACATAAAAAAATTAATTAATTTTTTAAAAAGTATACTTAATCAGGGACACCTGGGTGGCTCAGTCAGTTAAGTGTCTGACTCTTGATTTTGGCTCAGGTCATGATCTGAGGGTCATGGGACTGAGCCCTGAGTTGGGCGCCCCGCTAGGCATGAAGCCTGCTTAAGATTCTCTCTCTCCCACCAGAGAGGGAGACAAAGAGTAAGAGACCCTTAATCTCAGGAAACAAACTGAGGGTTGCTGGAGTGGAGGCAGGTGGGAGGGATGGCGTGGCTGGGTGATGGACACTGGGGAGGGTATGTGCTATGGTGAGCGCTGTGAATTGTGCAAGACTGATGAATCACAGACCTGTACCCCTGAAACAAATAATACATTATATGGTAATTTAAAAAAAAAAAGATTCTCTCTCTCCCTTTCCCTCTGCCCCTCCCCCTGCTCTCCCTCTCTCTCTCTCTAAAAAAGAAGTATATTTAATCATGAAAATTCTCTAAACTTAAATCATGTTTTTGGGGTATGGGATAGGAAATAGTTTTGTCATTTTAATAGCTATGTGCAAATAAACATTTTAAGACACCATGAGACAAGATCGTTCCAAAGGAGCAAAAAGGATTCCATCTGTTCCGAAACCCATAACCAAAGCAGTATCTGAACAATATGTAGAAAGACCCCTCTCAGCCTTTAATAATTTAAACCAGTGGTGTCCACTAGAAATATAATCTGAGCCACATACATAATTAAAAATGTTCTAGTAGTCACATTAAAAAATTAAAAACACGTTGGGTGTAAAGATTACTAAAATAAATAAACTTTTAAAAATGTAAAAAAAGTGAAAATAATTTTAATACTTTATTTAATCCAACAGGTGAAATTATTAGCATTTTAGTATGTACTCACGTTAAAAGTTTTTAATGAGACATTTTACTTTTTTACTTTTTCATACACCGAGTCTTTGAAAACCAGTGTGTATTTTGCACTCACAGCACATCTCGATTTCGGCCAGCCCCATTTCAAGTGGTGCAAAACAGTGGTGTTAGCATCTGTTAAATTTGTATCGGCTATATTACTTTGGGGATTATGTATTTGGAATATTTTATAATTTTTAAAAAAGGGAGAATAACACACTGGATTTAAAACAAACAAACAAAAGCCCAGCAGAGAAAGCGGAGTAAATCTGTCCAAAACAATGATGTCATCAGCACTGTAACTGGAGGAGGGCAACTGGATAAATAGTCATAATAGGAGGAAATGCAAATGGTTTATTTGGGTTTGGAATATGTTTTATATTTAGACTAGTATATAAATGCACTTGCTGTTCTGTATACTCTCACGTCTGTGCACCCAGCATTGAGCCACCTGGGATTCTTGGCTCAGGGGTTCCTTGGGGCTGCTCCGGCTGCCTTGTGTGAGATCTGCGAACCCAGCGCCACCACCTGGTTGCCATCCCAGGTGGCAGGATGTCCCAAACAAATGCAAAGCAGCCCCACTTCCAGGGTCGCTCTCTCCTTCTCTCCCTTTCTCCCGTCCTTCCTTCTCTTTTATTTATTTATTTCTGTCTGCCTGTTTCCCTGGGGCAAGGGAGTCTCTTTTTTCCCCCTGACACTTCTCTTGGGCTCTACGGACCGAGAATAATCAGACACGTTTCGTGAATGGGTAATGTCAGCTAAGAACAGGAAAGTATAAATGTCCTAGGAACCATTCATTCGTTCCATTTACAGTTCTCTAGTGAGGGCTTACTGTATGCCAGACACAGTGCCAGAGTAATCTATTTGAGACTCATGTAGAGATTATCCTGCAATACAGCTTCCCGAAATGGGCTCACATGTCCCCCCCGCCCCGCTATAGCTTTCTCCGTGGTCATGCCTTTCTTGCCAGTCCCTCATGTGTACCCCCTCTGCCCCGCCCTCACAGGTACTTCATGCTCATTATGTCTTAGAAGTGCTCTTTGAAACAAAGAGAGTCCTGAAGCAAATGCCGAACTTCACTCACGTAAAGACGTCTCCCTCCAAAGAGATAACGATCTGTGGTAAGTTTCAGAGCGGAGCTGCCAAATTAATATTTAGGAGCGCCTTGGTTCTACGTCGTTTGCTTAATGCGAAAACTGTGCAAATTGGACTGTAGTAAGGGAAAAGTGTTAATATAGAGTTATCTATCCTGATAATACTGTTCCCCATCTTGTCTTTGTTTTGCATACCAGCTGGCAGGAATTAATTATGTGAGAAATTAAAGAACTCATAGCTTTTTATAAAGGCAGGCAGCATTTTAATACGGAAAAAGACCCATGGGTGGAATGAGCCTCCTTTGCCCTCCGTCTAGCTCTCAGTATCTTCGTTCCATGTTACTTTTGCTAGGTGCGCCTCCGCGTGCCATTTATGCTGGGGGACCAAAAGCCCAAGGCAGGGTGGACATTAAACTCTTCTCTGCCTTTGGCTGCTCTTTTGGATTTTTCCAACTGGTCACTGCAGCTTTTGGAAGAGTGGGAATGTCCCAGAAATCTGTTCCTTGTTCTTCTAAATAACAAGACTTGAGATTTTGTTATCGTATAGGCCAGCCTGGCAGGATATTGCTTCAAGAAACAGTACACATTGAAATTCAACACAGTTGGTGCTCAGCAGGCTTGCAACTGTCTGAGAATGGGGTGCGTGGAAGGAACAGCAATTCCCTTAACTTCTAATTAGGCCTTTAGGTTACAAAACAGTGATTGTTATTTTCCAAATCGATTTTTAGCCTGTGTTTCTTTTCCGCTGGCAGGTAGAAGTGGATTTGACAATCTAGTCAAACCGTTTGCATCGCTAGCTCCTGATAGTGGTGGTGGGGACTTGATGCAGCAGCACGTGCCATGGGCCCGGACTCAAGCTGCTGAAGCATGTTCACTGATTCCAGCCGAATCGGGCTGATGCACCTCTGCCTGACAGATGATGCAGCTCAGCAGTGGGGACCCTTTATTCAAGGCCTCACCAGCTCTTACTTTTCACAAAGATTAAGACTTGGGGGTCATGAAGCTCAGGGAGCCGTGCCCACCCATGGAGTCCATGGAGCCAGGGCTAGGTATGCTATCAGAGTGTATATAAAAAGCCAGAGAGTGAGATCTGCTCCCACATGTTTCCAATATACCTGCAGTTGCCATTGTAGATTTCTCTTTCGGTGAAAGGATCTAGAAGAAGACGTGAATTAGAGGGCAAGGGAGTCCTGGCCTCACACGGTGTAAGAACCGAATGGTTCTTACTGGGACTAGTCTCTCACTTGTTCTTGCGGATGAAATTGAGGCCCAGAGAGGAAAAGGAAAGTGCGTTGCCTTCCCTACATTCCTTCCTCCCTCCCTTCCTTTCTTTCCTTCTTCCTTCCTTTCCTTCTCTTTTCTAAAGATTTTATTATTTATTTATTTAAAAGATTGTATTTATTTATTTGAGAGAGAGAATGAGATAGAGCCTGAGAGGGGGGAGGGTCAGAGGGAGAAGCAGACTCCCCGCCGAGCAGGGAGCCCGATGCGGGACTCGATCCTGGGACTCCAGAATCATGACCTGAGCCGAAGGCAGTCGCTTAACCAACTGAGCCACCCAGGCGCCCCAAGACCTTATTTTTTAAATAACCTCTACACCCAACGTGGGACTCAAACGTACAATCCCAAGATCAAGAGTCACATGCTCCACTGACTGAGCCAGCCAGGCACCGCTCCTTCCCTGCATTTCTAGGTAGTGACTCTCCCCCACCCCCCTGCCCCCAGGCTCACTCAGCTAGTTACTGGTAGGGTCAGAATCAAAAATGAGGTCCTTGGCGTCCCAGGTTAGGGCTGGCCCCATATCTGCTATCCCAACTTCCATCACGCATCTCTCTGACTGATGTGTCATTTTCCCTCCTGAGACAAAGACTAGGGAATGGATTGATTGGACAGTTCATTCACTTAAAGATCTCCACATCTTGGGCATTTATTTGCAGACATTTTTCCATGTAGCACCATGGCTAGAGGGAAAAGCCAAGGCCTGTACTTTCCCTTAGCTTAGGAATTATTATTTTTGGTCTTTGTAGCCCCATTAAACTTAGATAAATTTGGTCATCATTTAAAATTCAAAATTGGGGCTGTATTTTCAAAAACATCTGTTTAAGACAGTACTAGGAGAGGGAGAGAAAGTGTGATGAAATTATTTTAATTTCCAGATGCATTTTTTTGCATGAACATCTCAACATGCTGCATAGTTCTCAACACACATGCAATATAGAAGGTGTTTTAGTCTCTAGTTATGTTATAAAAGATAACCAATTCTGCACTCATGTTTTTGTTTGCAGTGGAAATATCTCTCTGTGGTTGTCTTTCCATGCTACATCAAGTTTTATCTTTTGCCGTCCAACTAGAAGTTAAAAATACTTATATGGCTCAATTCCTAATATGCTGAAACCAATTCATTTTTTAGTATGCCGGCTGCAACAATTTTGTCTCCCAAATCTTTGAAAGACAAGCCACTCTGAGGAAAATAAAATAATTTAAAATATATATTTAATTGATAAGTAAGAAGTCCTTCCATTTTTTATTTCCTTAGATTTGGAGTAAGATCATAGGAAAGCAATGAGATTTAAGTATACAACAGCATTAATATGCTCTTAATATTATAGTCATTTTAGGGCGCCTGGGTGGCTCAGATGGTTAAGCGTCTGCCTTCGGCTCAGGTCATGATCCCGGGGTCCTGGGATCAAGTCCCGCATCGGGCTCCCTTCTAGGCGGGGAGCCTGCTTCTCCCTCTGCCTCTCTCTCTCCCTCTGACTCTCATGAATAAATAAGTAAAACATTTAAAAAATAAAAAAATAAAAATAAATTTAAAAAAATATTATAGTCATTTTATAAATAAGTGCTGGTGATGTAGGACTTTTATTATTCTCATTACAATCAGAGGCTACTGTTGCATATATTTGGTTAATTTTGGTTGTGGGATTTCAAGCAAACCGAGGAAAGGTATTTCTATATTAAATTGTATTTGGTAATCAAGTTGGATGCAAAGAATAAAAATTAATGATCAGAGCCTATGAAAGACAGATAGTTTACCTAGAAATATTTATCCAAATAGGGCTTTTGACTAATATAGTCACTCTTAATTTTTAATTAGTGGCTTCCTATATTTATATGGTTTCCCTTGGTTAGCTGAGTTTTATAAAGCCATGCTTTCATTTTTATTTCCTATAACTGTCTCATCAAAAGCATGTCAACTCACAATTTTTAAATTTTAGTTGCTATTGCTGGAGCATATTCTCTAATGCATGGCTTTAAATACATAGCTTATAAAAAGCTGTGCGTTTAGCAATTAAGTATATTTATTGATTGCTTATTATGTACCAGGTACTATGAGAGGCACTGGGGATTTAATGCCAACTGACAGATACTATTGCAGCTCTCCCACAGATTACAGTGTAAACAATACCAAATAATCGCTAAGAGCTTGAGTTTGGAGTGAGATAAAGTTGGGTTTGAATTCCAGCTCTGATACTTGGTAGCTGGGTAATTTTGCATCAGTTAACTACTCTGAGCCTCCTTTGTAACCTCAGAATGATGAAAATAATACCCATCTCACAGAGCTGTTGTAAAGATTGAACAGGATAATTCATGTAAACCCTTAATGCAGTGCTTGGCGTAGAGGAAGCTAAGCACTGCGTAAATGGCAGGAGCGAACAGGTAATTGTAACATCAGATGCTGTCCCCCATAGGAAAGGGGATAAAAAGAGAGCTATGAAAACAAGTTGTTGCATTAATACCATCGTAGGGTAAAACCCCAATGCCCTGAGAATACTTAGAGTATATTGGCAGCATTTCAGTTTCAAAATTCTGTAACGAAATCGGCATTTTCTTGTTTCCTACTGAATAGTGATTTTTTCATTTGCACTCCAGGTGATTTGCATGGGAAACTGGATGATCTTTTTTTGATCTTCTATAAGGTAAATAATTATTTTGCTAAATAGTGGCATTTTTATGGGGGGAGGCAGTCCTAGGGCAGATAACAACGTTGGTTTTACTAGGGATATGGACAAATACAGATGTATGTAACAGCTTTATTCTAAGAAGCCAAAATATTTATAGAAGGATATCTTTCGGCTTTGTAACACATATTTCGCCAAAACAATCTTTAAAAAATTTAATCTGGGTCTTTGATATTACAGTTATCTATATATCCAGTGGGATTTGCACCTGATTATATGTATGGTCTTTATCACATCGTAAATGTCTAGATGGCACAGAATGGGGAGGGAAGCAATCTGTTTTGTTTTTATTTTGTTCAGGAGTGAGCATGTCACACACCAGTCTTCTCTTCCGAAGCACGCTCATTACATATGAAGGGAGTGCCCCACTTAGGAAGTTCCAAATTGCTCTCTTCTCTACCCTGATTCACCATCGCTGAGCTCAGCGCTGTGACTCCTCTCCATTTGTTGGGTTTCGGTTGTGGGGGCCCACACAGAGGGCACAGAGCAGCGTGGCTGGCATGGGGTTTCTCTGCAGCTCTACAATGGGATTCATTTCTCTCTCTGAGCCAGCAGTGACAACCTGAATATTTGCTTCTGGGACAACTGATCCTGAGGTGACCTCTGGATCTTTATGTCTTTGTTGTCCTTGTTGATGTCTCTTGTTGATTCCCTGTGTCAGTCCCCACGCTAGCATGTTGAACAACTGGGCACAGTATAGGTGTCTCCAGTGGTTGAAAGAAAATATATTCTGATTATTATGATGGCCAATCATTTCTACTCTTTGGAGACTGTGAGAGCTTAAGTAAGCCACGTAACCTCCATGAAATTCAATTTTTTATTTTTTGGCTGTAATATTCTTGAGCTTCCACCCCACAAAAGGCTGTCTTATGGATAAAATAACGAATATCCAAAAGCATTTTTTAAGGTAATAAATTATAACAGAAATGCGAGGTTTTAATTTCATTCATTTGGAGTGGAAGCTTAGAAGGGAATGGAGTGGGCCAAACCAGGAGTGGATGAATGGAGCCGGCACTTAGGACATTCAGTGGAGACTGCAGGAGACCTAAGCAAGGATCCGGAGCCTGGTAGCCGGAGAACCAGAGCAGAGAAAGTTAGGTTGGTGCCAGGAAGACCAGCCGAAGTTTTTCTGGTAGGGAGCTGACGGTGCTAGCAAAAGAACAATTCCTGAGATCAAGCCCAGAATCCAAGCTGGGTGGGGAAGGAAGAGAAGTCAGGATGGGCCAGTCAACTAGGAGAAATGGGAGGGCAGCAGGACTGGCATGCTTTCTGAGCAAGGGAGCAGACAGGTCGGGGCAAGGGCCTTGGGAAGCAGGAAGGGCGGGAAGTTATACGGGGAAGAGGCCTAGGAGACGAGTGTGTCGACGGCGGAGTCTAGAAGGTGGGTGGCTGAACAGAGTGAAAGAGCCTATGGGAGATGAGGGGGTCGAGGGTGTGGAAAGCAAAGTGTGTTAAGTGAGTTGGCCCCAGGACTGTGAGGTGAGGAGCAGGGGAAGGATGGCTAGTCAGAGGTCATGGGCTGGAAAGGAGGAGGGGCTTTTAGCCAAGGCTGGCAACATGTTGGTCTTTTATAAAAGAGTGGCTCTGAGGAGCATGGGAGGAGTCCATCAGCCTTCTTGGCGGGGGGGAGGGGGGGGGCAGATTTCAAGAGGGAAGTTTTCTGAATGAGTTGAAGGCAGAAGAGAGTTTATTTACCATGAAATGGGGATTCTGCTGGCCAAATTGGAAAGCTGTGGGGGCGGCGGGAGAGTGGACTGGTGAGAGGGCACTAAGGAGTTACCACAGTTGGGGAATGAGATTTGTTTCACTCAGTTCGTGGGGCCACATTAAATGTTCAGGAGTTCAATCCCACTACCATTGACAGTGACCATCGGAGGAAGGAAAGAGAGGGCAGGAGGATGTGGGGAACAACCACAAGAGAAAATCCAGCGATTATGTTTTTAGAGGTTTGGGGAGATACATAAGAGGGAAAATAGCTGAGTAAATGAGATGGGAAAAATGACTTCTGAGGCATTTAGAAATGCAAATTTCTTGAGAGGTAGCTGAAGAGATTAAGATGTGATCAGGGAAAGGACTTGGGAGTAGACAGATGAGAAAAGAGAACTACGACATGTTTCTTTAACTCTGTCGGCAGAGCGGTATGGAGCATATGAAACTGGAAAGTGCTAACGTAAAGACTGAACAGGAGGAGGTGGGTGGTAAGGAGTACCATAAAAAGAACGAAAGGTGAAAATATAGCATTCACATGAAAGCAAGAGGTATTTTGAGAGTTAACCCACGACAGTGTTCCAGAAGTGGAGACCGAGAGTCCAGTAGTGGAAGAGTAGGGCACTCTCCTTTGGGAGGGATTTGGGGAGAGGGAGGTGAGAGGGATGTTTGGAAAATATGAATTCAAGTTTTAACAGGCGTGAGCGAGAAGCAGCTAAAATGCATCTCAGATGCGGGATAAACCATGCGCCACAGAATCTCGAAATTGCCTGGTTTGAAAGGGGAAACTGAGGGAGGAGCCACTGAGAACAGCAAGGTTCCACTCTTAGAAGGTGAGAAGGTGCTGTCGTTGATGGTGTCTGAGAGGGGCAAAGGGCCTGGTGGGCCCGCGAGGATGGCGAGCCCCTCAGCTTAGGGGCAGCGAGGGCGGTGAGGGTCCGGAGTTGCAGGCCCCGAGAGGAAAGGGCAGTCACGCGGGCGTGTCTGAGTAAGCTCCTTCACATGATGATCTCACTCGCAAAAGTCAGCATTTTGCCTTTTTCTGTTTCACTTTTTATCTGAAGTTTAAATGAGGAATGATAATAGGAGGCAAGGGTCCAGCGCAGCCTGAAACCGGGCACACACACTGTTCAGGAAACAATGTCTGTACCTGAATACCAAGGGCAGTGACAGCCCCCTCTCCGGGGGGCGGACCCCTGTGTACTTATCTTTACTTGGCTCTCCTCTGTGGTCCCAAACCCACACAATTAAGGAGAAAGGGCCTCTGAGTTCTTGAAATCGCTGTCACAAATCCAGGGAACTTGCCTCACAGGATGGACCCCAGGCCCTTACTCAAAGACCAGTGAACATTGTATCCGGAAAATCCCATCTGATACATACATTCTTGATACAAGGAGGCCCGTCTGCTCCCCACCCCAGCAAGCGAGGGAGTGGGAGGGGAAAGGCAGGCATGAGAAAGGAGCACCAGGGTGAGAAGCAAAGCTCCTACTGACAGAGGAGACCCAGACCTCTAAGTGTGAGATAGGAAATGCGTACAGGGAGGAGAGTTCCGTGTTTCTCAGAAGTACCTGACAGGGTGCTTAGATCGACAAGCCTGCAGGGTCAAGAAAGGGTTAAGGGCTGTGTGGTGCATACTCGGTTAAGAAGTAGAGAGAACAAATGGCGCATGTTCACAACCCTGAGTTAAAATGGTTAAAGTAATTTAAAAACGCATTTTAGCTTTTAAAGGAGTAAGCTTCAGTGATCTGGAAAATTCATCTTAGCAGTACTTGCAGTATGAGTGAGTATCATTACTGGGTCTTAGGTATAGGAGGACAAAAGAACATGAGGGGGGGAAAGGAAGATTAGTTGAGAGAAGCGTAAGGGGCCAGGAGAGTAGATGAGGGGGGAAAGAAAGCACATCTTACGAACAAGGCAGGGAAAGGGGGAGTGCTGGACTTCTCTCTGTGGCCTCACCCGGGGCTGACAGCAGGTGTCAACCCTGACCTAAGCCATCTCTCAGTTCCTTCAGGAAATGGTAGGGTTTCTGTGATGGCGGATGATGCTCGCTGCAAAACTCAGTGCATCAACAGTGTGGTTTTGATTCCCGACTTTGTGGAACGCCCCGTGTGTGGCCCTTTCCTCTGGTTCATCCTCAGCAGCACGCGGGACTGAGGCGCCTCAGGGTAAGCCTCGTACTCTCTACCTCCTACTGAGAAGCAGCTAGTGGCCTTGCTTTCACTTATCCTTATTTTATTATGATTTGTTTAGTAAAATTATCATCTGATGTTTGTTTTATTTTTTCTCATTTAATTTTTCACCATGCATTTTATTCACATTCTGATTGAGCTTGAATTGTAGGGAATAGTTTGGCAAACTAGTGTTGGAGATCTTTGGACCTGTAAATCACTGAAGTTTATATTATGCTCTGACTGATTCCTCTCAGTCAACCCAAAAGAGAAACCAGGAAACCCCCAGGCTTTGAATTAAGGCAAAATTGATATTCATCTTTCAGTGGGTACTTTGCTAGGCCATTTCTTCCTCGTCAGGAATGGGGCTGGCCCAAGGCCAACCAAAGGCATCGCCTGAGAGGGAGAGTTACAGTGGCGGGTCCCTGAGATGCCTTGCCATACTACTGTTTTCATCCAAACGGTTGGTTTGGTTCAAGGCTCAAATCCTTATAACCAATCATATACAAAAGTGAGTCTATCCACAGATTTATTCATTTAATACACTTTTATCTGGTCCTTCCAGTGTTCGAGGCACTATATGAAAACTGTGAGGATACAAAGGTGAATATGAACTTTCTTCATTTCACATGTATTTATTAAACCCGTTATGAATGAGGTGCTCTGCTAAGGGTTGGCAAGACAGTGTGACTAAGATGCAGTCTTCAGCCCCGGAGACATCACAGTTTAGTGGGGAAGGTCAACTAGTAAAAAGACAAGACAGGTCAGGGTGGGACATATTAACGCTAAGGAGAAGCACAAGTCTCCAAGGTAGCATGTTGGAGGGGCACCTCACCTCATGGGAGACTTCCTGGAGGAGGTGACATTTAAGACAACCTGTTCAAAGAATTTTACTCATTTAGTAAGTGCCGAAATCATGAAGGAAAGTTTTGGAGGATCGGAAAAGATTTTATTCTCGCACACTCTTTGCGGTGCCCTGTAATAAATAATGGGATTCATACCAGTGATTGCTTTTGATTATTTATGTTGAGCTTTTGGTTCCTTTCATATTTGGTTGTCCTTACAAATTGTATCATTTAGCAC